TGTATCACAGTTCACGTTTCACCCACAATATAAGGGTAGAAGAAGATTTAGATCAGCAATTTGGTGTCTTTTATCTTTGATTGAGATCGTAATTGGAGGTGTTTTTCAGTCATGCACTACCCTACTCGTCGTGTAAGTTTCATTTTCTTTTCATTTCCCTACCTCCCTTTACAAGAAATCATTATTCAGTCAAAGTTCTTCCTCTCCCAAACCACCACGCCTGACTAGACTTTGCATGTCATTATGCATTGCTGATGTGGCCCTGTCAGTTTTAGTCTTAGGAAACGCCACTGGACTTGTTTGACCTGCTGCAACAGACAGATTTGGCTAGACTGTACTACATTAACTTTATAGGAAATAGCAGGGAAGCTTATTGTTGTTTAAATACTGTAAATAAACTCCTGTCCTAGATAGTTTGCACATCACACTAATCTAATCTTTTGATTAGATTAAACTTTAGCTTCTTCAGATGCACATTACTCCAGTCTGGCAAAGGAAACACAGGATTGTCAACGGAAAAACATTCAACCTGGCTGGACTTTGCTTTATGAGATGATATTTTTACTGTTCACCTCACATTTACATAGATCCGATGGTTATCGCCGTAACTTTCTAGAGTTGTAAATTCTGGTCTTATGGTAATATAAAACCTGTGCACTGTTTGTTCTGGTGACTAATAAGCCTTACTCATGTATTGGTGAAGCTGGATTTCCTGGTTCATATTTCTTGTAACTCCACCAGAAACATGCTCCCAACAGTGACTGTTTTTTTTAGTTTGAACTTAACTTATTTTATATAACGTATTTTTTATCATTTTTAAAACTGAAATTGACCAGGTGTATGCTGCTACTTTAGAAATTGTATTTATATCTAATGTTTATGTATCCTGCTGAATAAATACTGCAGCCAGTTACTACTTGAATATATTTGTATATATTGCTGTACAATTTGATTTATGTTATCCACACACCAAGGAACCATGCAGTTAAAACAAATGAGTTAAAATGGAACTACATCTGTACTGTACATCTGCACCCTTACATTGTAATTATGTTTTAAGCCACAAGTCCAGTTTCATTCTGAGTTACTCGTGAAATCTGTGGAAGTCTGCAATTCCCTTTTCTCTTTCTTTCAGGATAAAGTCAACGTTTGAATGTTGCCAAAGCCGCGTATCTGTAACAAAGTTCGCCCATCTGAACAACAATTCACCAGACATGCTTGAAGAGCCAACGTATCATCTGATCGCACACTAAATGTCTTTATTAGAATTAGGAAGCGCTTTCATACATAGTTTCTGTTTTAGACAATCTGGTATTAACCCCATGATCAAGTTATGAAGCATGAGTCACAGGTTAATGCAATCATGTGAGTTAAGACCATTTATGGAAGTTGACTAAATGAATTGCCGTACATTTGCACATGAGAAATAGTTCTGACTCTACACCGGTTGATTAATAATGGGAATTCATTGTTATACAAAGAAGGTTATTTTAAAACAAACCACAATTTAAGTCACCTTTCAATGTTGTTTTATCATCAGAAGACACTCACAACACGGTAGTACTTTAGTGTTTCTCCACTACGTCACTACTTCTAATAATAATAATTAATAAATTAATAAATATTGTTCTTCTAAATTATCAGTAGTGAAGGCTCTGATTATGTATTTATTTCCATGTGGGTTATTCTATTGGGCTTTTCAATGTCTCACTTAATTAAACATTATTTTAATATTCATTACAGTTGTTTAATTTTGCTGTGATATGTCTATTTTTGCTTGCCTTATTATACACAAATCACAGTGCCAGAAAAGCTCCTGATCAATTGTAATTTCTGCACTGGTACTTTACAACAGCGAGTGTGTTTACCTGCACAAGAGAGTCCTGGTTGTTAGTCCTGTTTTTGCTCATATTTGGGATAAACCTGGTTAGTTATTACCCAGTATACATGATTAGTACAGTATCCAGATCTCTGATCTGTCTGTTGCTCTTGATTTCTCACCATCTCAGCCACTCTGTTCAGAAGCCAGAATAAGGTGTTTACATGCAACAGTATCCTGGTTTCTGTGGGAGTACTCCAGCTTTTATCTCTAGGTTTGTCAAAGTTAGAATAAGGCCTCATCCAGGTTTCTTAAACTAAGACAAATAACACACATATAAACACACTCAATCAAACTGTGTATCTAAACTGTGTATTGGATATGCAAATGTGGGAGCTTAATCCTGTGTAAAGTACTTGAATGTGTTTTCTTTTACTTCCAAAAATATACGGGTAATCCAGTATGTCTTAAGCTGAACTGCTGTTTTTTTTTTTTTTTTTGGGCGGGGGGAGGGGGGGCTTGTCTGCTTAATGACTTAATCACATACAGTTATCCATATTTTCAGGTTACACTTCTTGAACATCAAAGACAATGTATGTAATGTTTACATTAAGTGAAATGAAACTGAGACAGGTGAAAATACAATTTACAAGGGAACTTTTTTGTAATTTTTTTTAATGAATTAAATAAAAATGTGATGCTTTAAAAATGATTTGTGTATTATTTTTAAATGTATTTTCAGTAATAACATGCTGTTGGTGCAGGTTTGGAGGGTTTCTGTGCTCAAAACAAATGAACAAACACCACACCAAAACATAACATGCCATCAGAAGAAACTGTCACATGCAAGACAGTCGTCGTCTGCTACTTTAGTTCATTGAGGACACCGATGTAGAACAGACTGATACTGGAAGTATTTCCATTAAATTATTGGTTTACTAATATTTGAAGATTAAATTGTTTTTATCACGTTTCATATTAATATAAGATAAGATAGGCCTGACAGTAATAACTCATAAAAGGAACACGATCGTTGTGAATATGTGTTTTGTCTTTGAGAGTGTCTGTTCTGTAAAACAGGTTGCTGCTGTCAATATTATGCTTTCAGTGTGTTTTACTTTACAGTAAATAGGCAACCAGTCCACTCAGACCAGGATAATGTACACCAACAACAACTGTCAGAGTACAAATACTTCTGCTGGAGCAAATAAGCATTTGCAGTTTAGTGATCAACCGTGTGAAAAATCTGGCATCTCTTTTTGTTTCTCATTGTTAAAGAGGCTAATGTTGAGAGATAGAGCAAACACACCCCCATATCCCCATGAGTCCAGGGACAGTGTGATGAATATTTTAACATATGCAGTTCACACACTGTTTCAACATTCTTTATCTCATGTTTCTGTACAAGTATAGCCTCAAGTATCTGCCTCTTTATCTCACAGTTGAAGTTTAATGAAAGCAGTAAACATTGTTCATGAATGCTCCCCAGACTGTAACATTGTTATTCAGATTGATGAACTGGAAACGTTAAATTCAGGAGGAGAATAAAGCCAGCAGAAGACCAGAGATATGAGAAGCATGCTATGCCTAATAAATGTGTTTTGTGTTCCTGGGAGAGGAATGCCTATCTTGATTAGAAAAGGTCAGTCTTTTACTATGTACATACTGTATACATATAATATCTGTATACACAAACATAATGCATTTGTGAAAAAAAACCTTTAACCTTGATGTAGCTGATTTCCAAGTATTGACTCCAATTTAAGAGTGACTGGGTCTTCTTCTATCACCCTCTCAACACCTCAAACCCATCAAAACCCTCCAAACATGTTTGAGATGGAAGCACAGGTTATTCTGGTGTCTGTAAAGATGAAATTAAATTGTAGTATTTTTATCTGGCACTGACAACCCACACGTGTTACATTCTATTCTATTCTATCTATTAAAGCAATAGTTTATTCTCCAGTACTGGATCACAGGAAGGAAAAATGTTAAATATAGAGGTAGAATAATAATAAAATAATAAATAAAAATATTTAGATGACAGGTAAATGACATTGGCTCTCTATAAGACAGATGAAGCTTGTCTTTATCAATTAGTTAAACAAATAAGATGAGAATGCTTCTGCATTTTCTTTTGCACCTATAGTAGAAGACAGATCATAACTACATGTGTCTTGCTTTAAGATATTGCTCCACTACCCTGTTGCCTCAAATGTTGTTTCAATACTGGACAGTAACCAGCAGAGGGCAGCATTGAACACTGTAAATCACTAGATGCCAGTGTGAAAATGCCATCCACTTTTTAAAACCAGTCACATATCATGCACAGTGATTGTAAGGGACAAATAGAAAAACCAAAACAAGTCTGGACCAAATTTTAGCCTGCAGCTTTATGGCTCCAGTCCACACTGGGATGTAAAGGCATCTGAATAGATTTTCACCTCTGTGAAGAAGGTGGAAAGTCAAGGCTGCTCGTAAATATGTGAGAAATTCTTGCTGACAGTCTTGACAAAACACACACCTATTACCTACTTCACAGAACAATGAATTTGCAGATTAATTTGCAGATATTCATGAGCACTCCCGAAGTTGAGTTGTTTGCACAGTAACACCTCTCTCGGTGCTACTGTTTGGCAGTCTGCACTAACTCCACACTAACTCTATGAGACATGACGAAGGAGTCCTGAAGCCACCAGGCATGAAACCAGCTGGAATGGGAGGATCCTAAAGGCTTTACAGGCTGAAGAGGAAAATTTACTTGACCCCAGAAAGAGCTGGAATCCATTCTCTCTTATTTATAGGGTGGATGTTTCCAACAGACACTGTGCATGCCTTTAAGCATTTGTTTCAATTTAAAAGAACCATAACCGATTGACTTAATTTAGAATAAGTACAAACCTCATTGATATGTGGCAAAGACTACATACACACACTGCACACATGCAGCAACCCCCGGATGAAGATTAATGGGCCTCAAAGAGACCTATCATACAATAAAGCTTCAGTTCACTGCCATATAAACATAGGCCAACTAATTATCACTCCAAAACGTTTTGTCTTGCTAACCTGAACCTAGCATCTGAGCCCTCTTGTGTTGTCATTGTTCCCAAATGAATGAGATTCTTGCAGCTTTTTCACAATAGACATCAAAATGAACAAAAAAGAAACTTCATAGATCTCCTTGACATCAGTTTATAAAAAATCAAATGTAACAGTATTTAATAATGGACACTGCCCTATGTGTTTGTATGTCTTATACTTGGACAAACCTGTGATTTCAGGCTTTATAAACAAACTTGTCCTGACTTGTATGAAGGTGCGTATTTACCAAAAGAGACATGACGTTGTGTTGTTACAACCTGCAAACCACTTCAGTTCATTTTCAAAATTACTTGATGACTTCTGTCATCAAATTCTTTGGAGTCAGCGTCCATGATAAAAGCAACTTTATTTTCTTTCTCTCCTCTTGTGTTTGATGGAAAAGTGTGTTTTCCAACAGCACAGCAGTTAACACCAACTGTATTCACACAATGTACTTATTCAGCTGAGATAAAGAGTCTGCTTTCTGTGTTTTGACTACATCTATTGACGTATTTATTCCTTCATAATTACAGATTTATCACCATATTAGCACGTATTGCTTTTAGCCACCAGTACTTGATTCTGATTAACAGTCTACATATATGATATCTAAGCTACAGTTTTTCTTTTGATATTATTAATGTACATCTGAGAATATTGCACAAATCAAGTTTAATTTATCACACCAGTTCAGTAAAAGTAAACAAAACTTAAAGCCACTATATGAAAAATAAAAATTTCATAATTTAGTGCCCCCTGCGGTAGTATCAAAAAAGACTGTGTTTGTAATTCCCCCATCCCCAATACATGTATTGGCCGACATGAGGACAAAGAATGCATGGGCTGAAAGCAACTCATAAACGGCATCATAATAATTTGAATTACGCTCTAATATCTTGTATATGCCTTGTATAATATAAAATTCTACACATAGTGGCTTTAGGGGCATTTCACATAAGCACAAAGTGAGAAAAGAATCACATAGAAACGTTACAAAAGCAGCATTGAAAATCCAGTCCACTTGTCTGATGAAGATGTGTGTGTGTGTGTGTGTGTGTGTGTGTGTATGTTGTAACACACAATTCCACAGCAGGTTAAGTCAGAGGTCTCAATAAGGTCACATTAACAAGCCTCTTTATTTGTTGGGAAAGCATCTGGCTGGCCTTAATGTTGAGAGATTAAACTCTTGATGAGTTCCTCAGCTGCACTCTTGCCTTCTGGTTCCCTTGTAAACGGAACAATTCTTCCATCTTGTCCAACTTCACCCCTGGACTCCCACACCCTCATAACCTACTCACTTATTCGTACATGAGCCAGACCTCTGCCGTGAGACAGAAGATCGATGTGTGCAGACGAAAAATGACCTCCCACCACTGATGGCTTTAGCCTTGATACAGAGAAGCGTGGAGAGAAAGTGAGATGCTATTTCTGTCATGAAGCAGAGTGACCTGCTAATGCACATACAGCGTTATGAATGTAAATCAGGGCTCACTATGCCATTACATTTTTGCTTACATTCTTGTCTCCATTTATCTATGTTGTAAAAAAAAATCAAATGACATGTTTTGAGGGTGGATTTCCCAATCTAGGCAATCAGTCCACAGCTGTAAGAGGACATGTAAGAGATAAACAACTGTCTGCTCAGTGAGTTGAATTTTATACAGTAGCCTCCATTAACCTTTATACATGTATTAGTTACATACAGTACGTATTATATGTGTCAGCAGTCCCGTGTCAACATGTATTTTTCTTGTCAAATCTCACTCATTCTGAAGGGCAATACTGGTCAGGGAGGATGTAATGATGCTACATTGGTATATCTACTTCATTACAAAGAAACAGGGGGAAAATGTTTTAATGTTCCCACCTGCAAGAAGTTTGAAAGTGCCTGGCAGAGGTACATTGTAGGGTAAAAATGATTATCACCCAGATCAAGTTAAGCTTAGCTCCAACATTCTTTAGATTCACAGTCCTCCATCCAAACAAAATTATTCAGCTACTGTTATATAGTTACTATAGGTCAAGTAATTTTTCTTTTAGCATGGATGCTTTTTTTGGCTACAACTATTAGCTAGTACTAGTTATTCTGTCAGTCAAATGGTCTCAGAAAAGTCAAAAAACTTAACCTTCACATGCACTGGATTGCACCTCACATCTGTAAAGGCTATTAGTCTAATGATATTAGCGCAGTAGGTAAACCAGAGGTTCATTGCACCAAAGATCCTGGGCTTTAATTCCAAGTGAGGACATTTTACATTCTGACATCCATGCAGCCAGCATACAGTGTCCTGTCTCCTGGTCCATCTCAAGTTGGTCGCGCAAACTTCCTGCTTCCCCACCACTGGTTAACCAGATTCATACAATTAACACAATGCCTAGTTCATCTTCATTAGATTTTCTGTCCATAAGGCCACAGAACTTAGCATGTAAATGTAGAGCATAATACAATGCTTAACAATTTGAGTTCATTCACGTGGAAAAAGGCCATGAGTTTTATATCAGGTCAAAAATGCAGTAGAGCATACACTACTATTGTACCGCGTGCGCTACAGATATACACTTACTGATTCAAGTTCAACAGGTTGGTGTTGAAACGGATGAGAAGCCCCTTATCCCATACGACATCATCATCATTTTGTCAGCCAGTGGAGAAATAGACAATATATAAGTCTTATTTAAATCAAAGTCTGATTTAGGATGTCTATCCCATCTCCACGCTTTGTCGTCTTGTCCTCAGACATTTTGTTGGATGGAGGAAATCAGTTAGTCCACGATGAAGTTCCCTCATCTATTTCATCCCTCTGACATCCTTTGATGCTATTAAGGTCGTTTTGACTGGTAATTCCTTAAGCATGAAAATAACTTCTTCTCCATTCTGTGAACCAGTGGAGTGAAACTTAACAGTTACACAGCAATCCAATTAGTTGCCAAAGGTCACACATCATCATCGTCATCATCATTCTGCCTCAGCCTCCTCTCATGACTTTGTCCTCTCTGGCTCCCTCTTTGAGGGAGACGACCGACTGGATCCTGACAGAGCACATACTGTTTCCAAATTTTCCGGAATGCTGTGCGGAATTTCTTGATGCGGAAAGCGTAAACGATGGGGTTCACGGCCGAGTTGCCATGGGTGAGGATGATGGCGATGTAAATGAGAAACATTGGCTTATCACAAGCGGGGCAAAAGAGGGTGATGCAGTTGAGGATGTGTAGAGGGAGCCAGCTGACTGCAAAGAGGAAAAGAACAAGTGCGAGCGACTTGGCCAGCTTGAGCTCCTTGCCAAAGTAACGGCTGGGGTCTGTGTGGCTAGCTGTCACCTACAAAGAGATAAAGGAGAAGATCATCAGCGTATACATTTAACTTTAGTCTTATCAAGTCACATTAATTCTGTTTTAATAGTAAAATAATTGTCTTTTGGTTGCTGCATATCATAGTGACCAAAAGTCACACAAGAAAAGGAAGTCATTACCTTCTTGTTCAGCTGCTTGTGGATCATGTAGAAAATCTCAACATAGATGACCAGCATGAGGAGCAGAGGGGGCAGCACCCAGCCAAAGAAGTTGAAGTAGACCATGTAGTCCATGCTGATGACTGTCTCAAACTCACAGGTTACCAAGAGGTCATCAGTGATCAGGGAGCCATTGTCACGGAGACTCTGCAGGTTATTCCAGCCCAACATGGGCGTGAGGCCCACTATGATGGACACCAGCCAACACAATAACACGGCCGTGCCAGCTCGCCGAGGGGTCACCACGCGCTTGTAGCTTTAGCAACAAGGGAAAAGATAAAGTGTTGATTAAAAAACAGAAAAGCCACAGCATAACAGACATAGTGTGTGTGCTGTTTTTTTATTTTTTTCATGATACACAATTTTGTTAAATTAATTTTATTTTTTAATCTGCAAGTGTTTTAACTACTGATTCATATGCTTTAAGGAATTGATGTCTTATTAAAAAATTTACATTGTGACACCTTAAAAAATAGGCAAAACAACAAAAGGAACATCTTGTTGTTTAATTCAGCCCAATGAAACATCTGAATCATTGAGAGAACACATATTCCCTTTGTAAAGCAATAATAGAATATAATAGCCTGCATATTTTTTGTTTTGTGAGTAAAATAAAATGACTACAACTTGCATTTCATTGTACAAGCTTGTGTTGTAGATAAATAAATGAACCTTGGACCTTGTAATAATGTTACATTTTTGCAGTGGTTGTATCTTGGTGTGTTGTTACTCTTAAAGTGAGACTATGTAACTTTTGTTGAATAGTATCCACTGTTGCCACAAGTTACAATCATAGAAAAATGGTAAAAGCTAAAACAACAGTAGCAAAAGCAGAAAACAGTCATAAAGTCAGTAAACTGGCTCAGTAATGTCTGTTATAGGGCAGTATCTAGCTAAATAGTGCTAACATTAGGTAACATTTTGTAGCCAGAAGCTACTGGTCATACTAGACCAAGTAAGGCTGTAGTTAACCCTGGAGGGTGTTCAATTTAAAAGGAAGAATGTGATTTTTCTAGTAGTAGTAGTTTGTGGGGTTGTCATATTGGACTAAATAATATTATAAATTGTACCAGTTTTTTTGTCCTGTAATTCCAATTTCTTTTTGAGTTTCTATTTTATTTTATTTTCCTGGAAAACATTTCTGTATTCAAATGTCAGAGAGATGTGCTGAGACATCTGCTGCTTAGGAGGGAACTGTGGGAGTTGTTGCCTAACATGAAAGTCTCCAATTCTTTGGTATTTTCACAGGATGTCCTGTCTCTGCCTCTCAGTTGTTGCTATTGGACAGATCTATGAATTAGTCATTGTCACACAGACATGAAAGATTCCTGTAGTAGACTGGACTGTTGATTTTCCTAATTCAACCTTTATTTCTATTGAGTCAGTGCTGACTCAATCAGGCGAAAGGGGTGAGTGAATCATTCCAGCGGCTCACTCTTTTACTCTCAGCCGATTTTTTTCTCTCCTCTTATCATGCCTAGTCCCTGGCTTACCTCACTAACGCTGACGCAAACACAGAAATACACACTGAGATATGTGCCAGAACCAAACTGTCATATCTTTCTCCTTTTCTCTTGTTTCTTCTTTCTCCAGCTGTTGTTGCCTTTCACTTTCTGTCTCACACACACACACACACACACACACACTAAGGAGTTCAGGGTGAGGCAGACACAACACAGGATGAATGAATGAATACTCAAAGGATGTTCAAAGAGACTCTTTCAGGAGGGAGTGGGTCTTCCCATATGTGACGACAATTTTTATCTCAACTCTCTCTACAGTTCGGGTTGGCAGAAAGCTCATCTGTGTGTCTGCATACAGATCAGCTTTCAGTATGCCAAAAACTACTTTATGGATATGACTGTTCTCCATCTATCTATACTTTCCTGTGGAATTTAAATCCTTGTTTCCCACCTGCAAATCCAATCCTTCAGCTAAGCACACTGGCAATACTTAGGGCATTTTCAAATCTCAGACACACCACCACCCTTATCATGGCAGTATGCTTCCAAACCACCTCCGCTATAAAAAGCAATCAGTGCCTGTTAAACTGTGTCCCTCTAGAGTCACAGGGGTGGTTTAGGGAGGGGGACTCAATTTCTCACTCATATTATCACTTACCATGAGACAGTAAAAACACAACTGGTGCTTTAAGTATCTGGCCAAATGCATCAGCAGTGAGATGGAAGTAAATTTTCCATAATCTGTGACTAACATATTCTTCTTTTATTTTTTCTTCTTTAAGCCAAAGCACCTGGCCACCTTTTCTGCTGTTGTTGTTGTACCTAATGCAGAAAATGGTTTAAACTAAGTTTTAAAAGATTATAATCATTACAATACAATATTAATATTGTCTGTCCGTTACCTTCAACTGTCACTACATCCAGTACACAAGTTCACCACTGCGTGATGATCAGGGCTGAGAAACCCAGCAGCACCCTGATAAATAACAGTTAAGCCTATAACATTGGGATAATACTAAACAATATATGTTTATTGCTCGAGTATATTGCATCACTGCAACCTGCGTTCTCTGAGTGATAGAGTGCAGTGTGTGTGCATGTTTCTATGTGTGCGTCGGGTGCCAGCTTGAGAAATTATGCAATCCATCAACCAGCCACCATGAGCCTATTGACCAATCATGCATTCTCTGCCAGACTCACCAGGCTTATTGTTAAATGTGCCAACTTAAAGTGGAAACTCAAGTTTTCTCTAAAATTATGGGTCTGGCAAGACAAGAGGAGAAAATCTCTGTTACCATGCAACAGAAATATCGGTTTATCATAAAGCTAGTTTTTAACAAAGCAGATCAGATCAGAAGGAATAAAGAAAGAAGTACAACACGTTGGACCTCTGCATGCTTCTTGTATATGTTAAGGCTGGACACTGAAATACAGCTTGCCTCCCACAGATGTGAAATTCAACAGCTTTAAAAGTACCAAATAGCCCTGACCTTTCTTTTGACCTAGAGCATCCCAATGTAAATAATATATAAATAGAATAAACTATCTTTTTTGTACACCAAAATAGTAAATAGTAGTATTTTTATCTATATATCTGTATATGTGTCTGCTACAAATATATTTACGGCTGAAAAAACATTCAGACAATTCAAAAAAAGCATCTAAAATCATTAGCCTCATTATTTTTAGAGAGAAATATTTAACAATCAAACCTTAAAGTTCACAGTCAGACCATCAGTGTTTGTCTTATCTAATTATTTTGAAAAGAGGGTTTTTTTCTTCTTTCTACCCCCTTTTGATCATGATATGTTTTACTTTGTTCCAGTTAACAGCTGATATCATGGGTAAAATGACGTGTTGGAAGTACACAAATAAATAATGAATCAAAAAATAAAATATAATCTTAGTAACAGTCTTAGTATAATTTCTATCGAATTTTAACACTGACACCATCACTGACTCATTCACTTCCAGTAGAGATAACAGAGATGTCACAGCAGATTAATGTAGACCTAGATTAATGATACTGTAAATGAATTAAAATCATTAGACACACATCTACATTAGATATTACAGTCATTTCTGGTTGGAGCTCAAATTAAAATCCTTTAACAACCGCTCTTGTGGGCGCCCTTGGTCCAAGCAGCGGTCCAGACACAAAGGCTCTGTAAATGAGACAACACACTGAAAACTAGAAGAATTCACCTTTGTGCCTACCTCATGGGTATTTTGACTCTCAGATAGCGGTCGATGGCTATGGCCAGCAGTGCCAGGATTGAACTTTGAGTGAGGACGAGCACTGTGCAGGCGACCAGCAAGCAACTGTAAAAGTGCGTCTGGAGTCCGATGCTGATGGTTATGGCGAGCGGGATGACAAGAGCGCCGACCGCAATGTCAGCCGAGGCCAGGGAGACGATGAAACAAAACGTGGTGTCTCTCAGAGACCGGTTAATACGCACAGCCCAGACCACCATCACGTTCCCGATGACCGACGACAGGGCGATCACCACCTCCATCCCTATGTAGAGGGCTTTAGAGGCAGGCAGACCCGGAGGCATGTTCACAGGCGCTGGAGGAGTGTGCGCTTAGCGGAGAAAACAGCCTGAACACGTCGAGGGAGTTCCCTGTTTGAGTTTGTGGGCACCGACTGAGACTACCTGACTTTGGTTTCGCATGTTTTATATCCCCACACGGGCAAAGGTAGTGTCTGCTGCTCTGAATGATTTTAGAATCTGGTCCAGGACATAGAGTAGCCAGATATAGCCAGACGCAGAACTTGGTCTCCATACGGTCCCGAGGCGGTGATTCCGAGAATGAAGTGGCCCCTGCAGTCCTGCTGGCGGAGGGACGGGACGGCCGCGGGGGTAGCCTATGAATGAGTCACAAGCAGGTTTCCAAAGCGCGGATTAACAGAGCTGCTTTCCTCAGTGTCAGGCATGTGTCAAAGGTCGGAAAAATTAACAGAATTAGTCGTAAATAGTGTCGTTTCCGGCTGAATCTGAGTCATTTTCATAATTGCGCCATCATGCTTTCTCTTTATTTGGCTGCAGACAGTAAATGTTTATTCCTCTGGATAATTGGCTCTCCAGAAATAAGTCCAGTTTAGATATGGTGACATTTACGCAGGGAGATATTAATAATAAAAAAAAACGTATATTCCTTCACAGTCACATGTGTGACTGAAAGCTCGCCCTCTATGGGAGTGGACACACTGAGTCCTGAGGAGGAGAATATCACTCATTAATATGTCAGGTGCATCTTATAGCCATTGTCAAATATACACTAACTTACTGCTGTGCAACTCACAAATTCTTCTTCATGTTTTCACTTTAATGTGATAAATTATGTGATTTTATTCCGACCAAGAGGCTCCCAAAAATGTGATTACAAGCTCCTGCTTATCCCTGCTGTATTTCCCGAGTATGACTGAGTACAGGTTGAAATGAAGAGTGGGTGAAAAGTATAAGCCTGTGAAGCTTTGATGCTGTGGAGAGGATGCCCAGAAAGGAAGCTAGATGAAGACAAATGGTCACATGCTTTGTGTTGGAGGAACAATCAAACAATACTGGACTGAATTTCAGCTTGGTATCAGTGGAAAACAGCGGGGCTCAGCTGCACGAAAGACGCATGCAAACAAACCTATGTAAATGCAAATGAGACTCACAAACAACAAGTTGCACAAAACCACGCCACTTGCATACAGATAGAAACAGACATGCTCTTAGCACATTCATCTGCACTGTATTTGATTGCAAATAGGACTGCAGTTTTTGAATGGACACACTTTGGTGAAACTTACCATCTCTCCAGTCAGAGAGGGAAAAGTACAGATCAACACTTTCATTCATAGATCTCTTTCTCTCACCTTGACTACAGTGAAGGTCTTTCCCCTGAGAATGATTTATGTCTCCATCCTCAATCATTCATGTGGCTGTAACTCCTGTCTGACTTTCATCAAGGCCACAATATCATTTCCAGCACTGTGGATGAAACCGTCGAGTACAAATAGGCACACCCAACTCGTGGCCACTCTGAGCCAAATTTACGTTTAGATACTTTCCTAGATTTTAGCAACTTCATGCTGATAAGTAAATGCTACAATTCATTCCTGAGCTGGAAAGAATCCCGAAATGCAGAGGTGCCTGAAATATGTTGGCTTTATGAAGTGAGAATGAGCAATTCTGTTTAACTGTTGCTTTTTTACAACTATTTCAGCCTACTTCTTACTGAATACTCCCAGTAAGAAGTTGGCTGAAATAGTTGTAAAAAAGCCTCATAAAGTGCTCATTAAAACCCAACTTTATACTTTGTCTTTCTCTCTTTTTTTATTTGTTATTTATTGTCCCATGTCATATTGTATGATAGTGTTCATGCTTATACTTATAGTATCAATTGTCTGATTGACCTTAAGTGTATGACTGACCTTAATCATGTGACGATGCAGTACCTGCACCGGGTAGAGCATGCAGAGTAGAGTAGTAGTAGAGTGTGCATCATGTCATCCCCTCTATTCTCTGCCCCCGTTCCTGTCTTCACCTCACTGTCCAATAAAGGCCAAAAGCCTGACCAAAAGAAATTTAAAAAGACATTGTTAACCATTAATAAGTCTATCTATAATAATATCTGAGGGAACGGAATTATAGCTGATGGTTAATTCCAAGCACTTTCTCGTAAACGAGGGCTCTCTGTCTCCCTGCCCTTTTTTGGGCGGTCTGTATCAGTGGTCTCATCACTATGACTGTTCTATATTACGGGGGTTTCCTGTGTTGAACAGATTGACTCAAACATTTGCATGATGCTGCGAACTGAATGTTGCTATCCATGGCCTTTTATCTTAATGTAAAAGAATGTGAGTGCACAAATGGAAAGACATTATAGACTTACTTTACTCAATCACTATCTCCAAAGACTTGCCATGTCTTATCTTTGCTGAAACAAAATAATATTATGATACATGACCAAATTTCTCATGTGATTCATAGAGGCTGCTGACCTGCATCATGACAACTTTTATGGAACAGTCTCTTCTAAGGAAAAATACCTCCCTCAATGACTCTAAAAGTATTTTTTATTAGAGGACTGGAGAAAAACCAAGTCATTTTTCCAGTAACAAAGAAATCAGTTTCGTCTGCATGAGCACTGCATGCGGTAACAACAGGAGGACACCGCATCTGTTGATTTGACCTTCCTCGGGCTTAGCCAGTGCCGTGGAGCACAGTGATCCAAACTTTACCACAGGAGAAGGGGTCTACAGGAGTGTCACACAGTATCTAGGAGCCATTTTAATTAATACAGAGCAAGGAGAGGATTATTTGTCACAATGGCTCACTTTAGCTGCAGACCGTCAGCTTCTGTGTCCCTACCAATGAGCCGACAGGTGCAGGTAGCCAGCATGAGAGCACAGGTTGGCTGAGTGAAATAAAATCACAGAATAACTGAACTGAACTGGTTCCTCTGTCACATATCTGACTCAGTCACATGGGTTTGGAGCGGACTGCAGGTTAAGATACGTTTTCAAGCAGAGTAAAGCGGATTCAAGTGTGGATCTTTGTAAATATTTGCTCCATCTGTCTCTTACTGAAATGTAAGCTCATGCAACAATGTGTTTACTGTTTGCAAGCTTAGGTCGACACCTACATAAAACAGTGATGCGTTGTATTTGGAAATTGATATCTTTATTATTTAGTGTACAGTGTATGAGAGCAGTGATGCTCTCATACGCTGTTGTTACAGTCTATGTTATCCCTGCTCAGTGCAATTTCATTGGAATGAAGACTAATGTGATCTTAGTGTAATTATGGAGGCCCAATAGGTCCATAAACATAGAAGCTGATGAGGCAACGTTATTACTACACTGTGATTTAGCCTCATAACATAGCAGTACATCTGAATACAGCATGTTTACTCATTAACATCAGTCCAAATGTTGCAATCAAGTTGTTTATATTATATCAGTCAAAGTCACCATTTTACTGTGGAACCAGTCATTTTTCTTTTTTTACATTTTGCTAATAAAACTTGCTGACACACAACCAACAATGTCATTTTCTGATAAAGTCTGAAGAGACGCTTCATCCAGCATAGGAGGAGCACCAGGATTTACATCATTATTACATCAATGGTTCTTAGATATAAATAATCCAAGTATTGTCCTTTTTAAGTAAAATGAGTAAGATTGACTGTTTTGGTGTCACAAGGTACAGTTTTATCATTTCTAACAGCCATTAATATTTTTCAGTATGAACTGCAGTAGTAGTCCGCAATAGTATGTGATCTGAAAGTAACTTTTATTATGTCCTTCCAAGAAATTAACCTTCACAGCTCTGCTGAACATTTCCCAGCTTGCATTGAGGTCCATTGTGTTGAATCTGTGTGGAGGCTGTTGAAGCATGATAATTTAGGGAGAGAACGTGCAGCTCCTCATCAACCCTCTCCAGCCCAGCGTAAATGGAGGGAATTGTTCAGACACTCTACTGCTGGCATGAGTCTGATATCACAAGCACTTCATTTGCTGACCTGCAGGAAGCAACAGAACATGAGCTGCAGTTGAAAATATGTGCAATAACTAAAATTGGTGTTCCTGCCGCTCAACTGATCTCATCAAGGCATGAGCCTTGTTTTTTTAAATTGCAGGACCGAAGATTTCAAGCAGCACAATGTAGAGTTTTCACTTTACTTCAGTCTAAAGCTTATAAAATCTTATAATATAATCTTATAATAGAATCTTATTATAAAATCTCACTCTGGAGCAAATTGGTAAACAACCAAATTGAAACTAGAGAAGATACAACAGAAATCTTGACGGAGTGTGGATGACAAATAGCAGAAGAATTCCTATACCTGCACATACAGAGTTTGAACACAGTCACAAATGACAATAAAACACCATAAAGCAAGACGGGAACAACAAAATGCACAAAGTGCAATGCAATATATGTAGTAGTTTGGTCAAGTTACAGTAACAAAGTTTAAAGAGGTATTCCAGCTATGTATAATTACATTTTTTGTCTGGGGGATTTTTTTAAAAAGAAAGATCAAATTCAAAACAACAGAGGCTTAGATAACAATGCTGTATGTGACTAGTCTAGACCATGAAGAGAATTATGATAATGAGGTTGCTGCCTGCAAACACTCTTTTGGCATCACAGAGAGATGGTCTCATCAACAGCTTAAAAAAGACTGAAGTTTATTTAGTCACACCACAGACCCCCTTGGCAAGACATGGTTTAGATAAAGACTGATGTATGTAAAATTACTATTCTCATAATGTATAGCCTCCATAGAACTTTGAGGAAGCTGGTTAAGTACTACACCACTTCCTGTTCTTTCACAACTTCGGCTGATTGTGTAAACCTTCAGAATTCATTAATTCAACCCCAGTCATCTTTCTTCCCACGAAACACCGAATCCCCTTCTTGCTAATAAGAGTCATGAATCCTTCACAAAGATTGTCCTGTCCCACTGAGAAACTTTTCCTGGAGGAGTTCATAAAATGGAATGCCATGCATCCATATATCCACACTTTCTCTTCTCTCTCTCCCTGGCGTCTTCCATCTGCTCACATTAGATAAGACTTTTTCTGAACTATAGAAACCAGTTTAACTTTACCCAGTACATGACCTGTAACACCAGAGGGGAAAAGACCTTGGATCTGCTCTATGCCAATACAAAGGAGGCATACAGCGCCACAGCCCTCCCCCCTCTCTGCAAATCTGACCACTTCCTGATACAGCTCACTCCTACATACAGGCCTGCTGTTAGGAGGAGACAGTCCATCACCACCAGGTCTGTGCAGCAGTGGTCGGTGGAGGCAGAGGAGGCCTTGATGGAGGGTTACAGGACAACCGACTGGGGAACTGTTTCAGGAGGACCATGGAGATGACATCGAGGGTCTCACCCAGTGGGTCACAGAATACATCAGGTTCTGTGAGGACAGTGTTATCCCTACCAAGAGGATTTGCTGTTTCCCAAACAACAAGCCCTGGATCAATAGACATCAAAGCACTGTTGAACAAAAAGAAGGTGGCTTTCAGGGCATCTTTATGGAGATGAGGAGCAGTACTGGCATGAAAAAGTCAGTAGCCACCTCCTCAGGTTCCCCCATTCACACCTTGGCTACCCCACCCTCCTCCTCCACA